ATAATAATATAATATATAATAATAATATATATATATATATATATATATATATATATATATAAAGCTTTTATTAAAAGATACATAAATTTTATGAAATGCTATGAAATTTTCTAAAAACTTTATAATCTACTTGAAATTTTTTATCATGCAGTCTCATACATATGTATGTGTTAAAATTAAAATATTTTATATATAAATATACAAATAAAAAGTATATATTTTTAAAAAATTTCTAAATAACTAATAATATTTGTATAACCAAGATTATTGTGAAATATCATAAAAAATTTATAACAAAATTTAAAATTAAATTTTATTAGATTTTAGTAAAAAAATTCTCTCCAAGTATCAATTAACACAGATGACACTTTACCTCAACGTCGCCTAAGTCGATGACCATATAATCCGATTTATATTCCGGGGGTGGATTATCTGATTCCAGCATCTCATTTGTTCCGTATTTTCCTTTGCTGATTCTTTTCTCTCGTACTTCAGATTCTACTTCGCCTGAATTAGCAGTGTCTCTTTTCAGTTCCTTTTTATCTTTCTCCTTTTCCTCTTTCTTTGTACTAGTATATGACGATTTGTCTAGAGATTTGGATTTTTCCTTATTGGTCCAGTCATAAGCTGGCCGTTCCTCACAGAAGCTCTTCTTCAAACATAAGAAAAATGCCAATATACAGCTTATATTTAAATTCTCATTAAAATTATAATATTATGATCGAGAAAAGTGTATCTTTTACAAAATTTAATATTATTCATTATAAAACGCTAATAAAAATTTGAATTTATAAATATCGTGAAACGCACATTAATTTTGATAATAAATACCTTCTTATCGAATATTAAATCTAAATTAGCCAACGAAGCAAGGTTATGCGATGCGTTTACATTCGACGGTAATGATCCGCCTTCTCTCTGCCTAGCAGAAACACTGGGTCCGGTATATTTTTTGTTCTTTCTCCTGCTGCTCCCGTAAGTGTGACACGAACTAGATGTCAAATAAGCAAAACTACTGTCGAATTCTGAAGTTATAGGCTGTGCTAAATTTTGCAACGATCCGCCATGCGTCAAACGTTCGGATACGGATTCTCGTTTATGTCTCCTACGATTTGAGCCAGGAAGACAGCGTGAATTAGATATCACTCTACGGCCTTCCTCAGTCTCATCCGCCTCAGCTTCTTGTAAAAGTTCCTATAAAGCATACATCGTTCTATATTTCGTCCGTAATGATATCAAAATGGCATTTTCTGTATTTAACATGTAATTTCCAAGTCTGTACGTACTTTAAAGAGATTAGACTTTCCTTCCCGATCTTTTGGGCGTTTGTATGTTATAGCTTCATCCAGTAAAGCGCGTAATTCATTATCATTTAGCATAGACAGAGTTGCTGGTTCATCCTAAAAATGGAAATAACTAAGAAAATTACGTCATTTATGCAAGGTCGCAGAGATTACGCTATACCGATCACATTTTTGTAGAATTTTCCAAACTCATCTTAATTGGAATACATTTTATAATCACTATTATTAAAGAATCATTGATTTCTCTTGCCTACAGTTTCCTTTTATTTAAATAATTTATATAAAAAATATATATATTGTAAAAAAATACCCGTTACGCGCACTGTCACGTTAAAATGGTTTTACCATAGAAATTAGTTCGTACATAAGTTGGATAGAAACAGATGCACCAATAGATTCCTAAAGAGAGTGAATTTAAGGTTTCTCTTATTGGATCTATGTAAAGCTTCTATAACAGCCACATTGCAAAGTGTACAGTCTAAAAAAATATATATGCATATATGTGTACACACACACACACACACACACACACACACACACACACACACACACACACACACACACACACACACACACACACACACACACACACACACACACACACACAACTACACACATATGTATACGCACATATATTTGTACTTTACAAAACGCTAAATAATTAAATAATAAAATACTTCAATTCATTTTAATTCTCTCTAGGCTCGGTTTTTTATTTTCTGGTTAATTTGTGATTTAGGCCTAACCTGATGATAATAAAAAAAATTGTCTTTTTACATTGAGAAAAAAAAATGGTTAACTTGATCAAATTTTTCAACTTAATTATATTTGTTCAGTTCAAGTATCTATATATTTAAGTTAAATATATAAATATTTGAACTAAACAAATAATAACTAAGTTGAAAAATTTGGTCAAGTTAACCATCTTTTTTTCTCAATATACAATTAATCATTTCATTTCTAAATTAATGATTTTGTAACGATAACTTTTAAAGGTTTACCATCAGTTAAATGATTAATTATAAGTAGAAAAACACAATTTTTATATTATCATCAGATTAAACCTAAATTACGAGTTAACTGAAATATGAAAAACCGGATGTTGATGAAATTCTTTCCTCATTGACATGCCGACATAACCAATCGGCCTGCTCGCAAATTTAAATAGATAAAAAATTAGCGTGGAATATGCTCGGCGTATATAGCGATGTTATCAGAAATACAATGTGTCAAGATACGCAAACTGTTATCGTCGCTTAAGTGAAAATTCAGAGATGTTATCCAGGTTATAATTTAATTACATACTCCGAGTACAGAAGAAGCGCACGAATTCTCGAGTACTGAAAGACAAATTATGTTTGCTCGCGGTCGAGAAATTTGATAGCGTTCGAAAAGGAGCCGAATAAATATGCAGAGACAAGTCGAAAATGGCAAAGAAATGCGAGAGAAACTTTCGCAGGGGAAACGAGAAACGCGTAAGAGAGGCGAAGGGAGATTTCAGGATAACGATACAACGGTTGGTTCGGCGAACTCGTGAACGTTCAATGACATGACGGGGGATCGTCGCGAGTCCCAATTTCTTTATACAGGGTGTTGTGCGCGAAAGTAGACGAGGACGGAGAGAGAGAGAGAGACCGAGGAGCGAGATTCACGTAGTAAATCGTGGCGATGCGGAAATTCGCGGAGTCCGATCTGTGGGCCATCCGCGAGAGATCGATAGCGCTCCAGCGATTAGCTAATTAAGACGTGAACTCCCCGAGAGACGGAGAGACGAAAGAGAGGGAAAGAGAGACACACACACAGAGAGAGAGAGAGAGAGAGAGAGAGAGAGAGAGAGAGAGAGAGAGAGAGAGAGAGAGAGAGAGAAGCAGAAAGACAAAGAGAGAGAAAAGGAGACGTATATCGAAGTGACTTACGGAAGATGAAGATAAAAATCCGCTGAGCAGTAGTGCCGGCACAGAATTTATATTTTTAGAGGACACACAGAGACGATCGGGTTTGCTCGCTCCCTCGTTCGTTCGTTCACTCACTCGCTCATTCGCTTCGCGTTCTCGCACTCTCGCGACTCGGTCGACTTCGCGGTCGCGCTGCTGCTTTTCAACACGCGAGCGAACGAACGTCGCGCATCCCGAGACCCGTGGATGGAGCCCCCGAACTACGTGCACGGAGGCGCGTCGTCGCCGTCACGAACGGGGGGAATACAACGTCGTCGTCGTCGTCGTCGCCGTTGTCGCCGCCGCCGCCGGCCGATACGGCGAATCCCGGTTTTTGAAAGCTACTGCGACGAGCGGGCGCGGCGCGCTCTTCCCAGCATGGCCGTCGCCATTACACTGAAAGCACGGCCAGTCCAGGGGCGTAAGGAGTCCCGGGGGCGCCACGCGGCCACCCTGAAATAGCTCTGGTTCCGCTTCGTCTCTGGTTCCTCTCTTTCTTTCCCTCTTTCGCTGCACTCTCGTCGATAATTCGCGACCATCGCGAGTAAAAACAAAGTGGAAATGAACAAAAGAAAAAAAGTGTACGTTTTATTTTCGCCTTTCTACGCGAGGATTTTTGGGAAAACCGATACGATCGCGCCTTGGTGTCGCAGAGCTACGTCCATTTCTACCGATATAAGATTAATCTCGGCTTAACTTACTCTTATCTTCTTTTTATTTTACTTTTAAGAATTTGAAAAAGATAGAGACCAAATTAAGCAGAGATTGCAATTAACAGAGATTAGTAGAAATGGATATTAGCCGCTTACGTTCGTCTGTATTAATATCCATTAATTTTAGTTCTGAAAATTAGGAGATAAAGAGTAAATTAAAAGAGATTACAGTTATATTGAAGTAGAAATGGACGTTAGAGGCACGCGGGGAAATAAATCTTCTGTCATGCGTAAGAACAATTCTCATGCATCCGCGGCAACGAAATCTGATTTGTCACGGACGTACGGACGGCACCGTTCTTGTTTGCGACGATCACGCGTGCGTATATTCCGGTAAGTCTCTGTTGGAGGATCGTGTATGTGTGTACGTACGTACGTACACACATGCGATGGTTATCCGGGATTGAGAATCAGACGCGACCGCACACTTCGGCCCCTAAATATACGTGGGACGATGCGGCAAGTTCTTTCGTCTTTGTCGAACTCCGATGCGGGGAGGCTATTCTACAGAATACCTTCTTTCCTTCCTTCCGGCAATCTTTGATCGTTCGATGATCGGATTATTATATTCATAACGCGAATCGCGGTTCAACGTTCGACGTTGTTTTTTGCCCCGCATATACTTGGGGAGCGAGATCCAATAAACACCCATCATCAGACATCAAAAATACACAAGGACATCCCGAGCATGTTCAATTCCTAGTCAATATGTAGCATGTTAATTAAAAAAAAAAAAAAAAAAAAAAAAAAAAGTAGCTATTAATGGAGCAAACTGTTCGCGATGTCGCCTTTGTCCGTCTAGAGTTTATCGCCGGATGAATCACACCGGATTATCTTCATCAAATGTTGCTCAGTGCGAAATCCTAAATAACGAAAAATCAATGTCATTTTCTGCTGTGTCATTCCAATAACATAACCCACACGTTACGTAGCTATTTTTCTAAGCGAATGTTTATCAATCGCACGGATAACCACTTACATCACTGTCGTGTCTATCTCTCAAAGGCAGCTTGGTGTCCGATTTCTCGACAATGTTTTTTTTTTCCACCGAAAGATGACGGTCCCCTATCTCCTCCATATCATCATCATCATCATCATCATCATCGTCCAGATCTAAATTCCGTCCGAATTCAATTCGGGATGTCTCGATCGTTCAAAGACTGGAAATTGAAATCGATCGATCCTCAATGAGAATATATATTTTTTTTTCCAGTACTGTAGATACGAAAGTGTGCTGTCAATCAAACCGAGATCGAATCACCCCGAGATTGAGCTTTTTTTTCTTCACATCCCGCAGGAGTCGCCGCTCGAACATATGGATACCGTTCGTCGGGATCTGCCCGATCGCTCCGTCGATCCTGGAGACGTCGCCGCGCGATCGGCCGGTAGCCACGCCGTATACGGAGTTCCAATTTCTAATCGTCACGTCCCGAGAGCGTGGTGCGTTCGCGGCGATATTAGGCTCTGCGCCGTTTTTCGCGAGTTGACGTCCGTCAATCGCTCCTCCTAGCGCGCGTGCCGGCCTGGCTAAGGCGCGTTCGCATGAGACGGCAGCCGAAGATCCCAACTCGGTATCGCGAATCGGGGAGCGACTAAAGGACTCGAGCCGACTCGAGTCGCGCCCGCGCGCACCTATCACGACGAGATAATGGTAATTGGTTCGCGAGTCTCGCGCGATAACGCACTATTGGACGATAATAATGAAAAATTGTATGTTACGGGCAACGTTTACATGAAACTCCGGTTAAAAAGTGACCCGGGATATCTTTCTCGATCGAGAGAAAGTGAATGAATAGACTGATTTAAAAATCAGATTTCGGTATAATCAACTGAATTGGAAAATGGAAGGACAGAAGTCAGTGCGTTGAATAATCATGGAATTTGGTCGGTCAATTAAAAAGTGTAGCGTAATAAAGCTTCAAAATCGGAATCATCTTTTAAGAAAGTTACAGATTGTGACTTACGTAACTTGGGGAAAAAATTGAATTCGACTTGTTTGACGCATCGTATAACAATCGAGCAACTCGATCCCTTATCTTTTTTTGATAAAGCGAAAGTGATAAGCGAAAAAGTAATGCAACGAGTAATGGAATAAAAAAGTAACATGAAGAATAATAGAAATAAAGTACACAAGTAGAGTCTATAGCTAAGGAGATGAGTAATCCCGTGAGGGAACATGACAATGCTTTTTTCCAACATGCGTTATTAGTCATATATAAAATACAGCGAGAGCAAACGTATAATGATAGTAAATATTTATATCCGATATGCAAATTGCACGTACGGCTCGTGTACTAGATACGTACATTTTATTCCTCGTTTCTCTCGCGCCTCTCGGTATAATTCAGCCTTAATCTACCGCTTGGCCACTCTATCGATTTCGCGTAAATTCGGCACAATAGTCCCGCCGATCACCTATTCTTATTACGCAATACTCGTGAATCAAAGAGTCGAAGCGGTACTAATGACATTCGCTTGCGGATCGAGTTGCTTAATTGTCCGAAAGAAATCGCGCGAGCTAATCGAACGCCGAAAAGGGATATTGGGAACGTATTTGCGCGACGCGTCCTTCGCTCTATCGAGGGCCAGCACGGCCATTTCAGGGGCGTATAAACCAAGTGTATTAAGCGCGATAAAGATCCGCGCACCGTTCTAACAAAAAGAAGAAAATATGACCACGTCACCCTTCGCGACCACGGTTCGTAATTTTGAAATTGATGAAAAGATAAATTTTTCATCGTGTAAAATTTTCATTTGGAGTAAGACAAATGTAGCACGTGAAATCTTCGCGTTCAAAATTTTAAAATAGATTTGATTAAATGACACATTTCAATATTGATATTCTCTTTTCCAATATTCTATTTCAGAAGAAACCCGAGAGAATCGCTAGCGATTGGAGACACAATTCAATTTATTAAATTTATGTATATAAATAATTGTCGACATTGTCGACGATATGAAAAGAGTTCGATCGCTCTTGGAAAAAAGATCGTAATCCAGTGTTATTGTAAAAATCTAATGAATTAAACGCTTGACTGCTTTAATCAGAACTCACATATACATTGCGTTCGATTCTTTCGTACTTAAAAATGAAAAGAGCGAAGGAGAAATTGAAGTATCGAGAACCATTAAGTATTAATGTTCTGTCATTTTGTGATGATACGGATGTTATTCTTCAACGACGAGAATAATTCTTTGACGAGTTCAGATGCGAAAGAGTAAAGGTAAAGATCTAAGAGATCCTACTTAAAATACAATTTTAAAGCGATCCCCAGGACATCTTGTGAAAAGATGAAGAGTCCTTCCGACGTTTCCTCGACGCGATTCTCACCTGTTTATTGTCGGCGCCGCTGTTCGACGGCGAGATTTCGCTGATCGAATCCGCGGCGACAGCGGTGAAATTAGCTGGAGCAATCTCGATGTTCGAATTTTGCTCCGCGGTGATGACAGCGGCAGCGACAGCGGCAGCAACGGAGTCGTCGTCGTCGTCGGTGTTGATGTTGTTGTTGTTGTTGTTGTTACTACCACTACCGGTTGTCGATGTGGCGCTGATGTTCTCTATATCAATAACGACATCGGCAGCAGCAGCAGCGGCAGCAGCAGCGGCGACGGCGACGGCAACGGCGGCGTCAGCGTTGGTGGTACGATCGCTCTCGGCAATTTTGTCAGGAGCTACCGGTTCCTGACGATGTTCCGGCCCTGGGGCCATCTTGATCGAGATTGACAGCGCGGTGTCCGCCGTGCTCATGGCTCCCCCCTCGTCATCTCTCCCCCTCTTCCTATCCCTCAAGGGCTGCCGAGCCTCGGAAGGACTTGGTTCGCGTACTTGTCAACGATCTGTGCCGCATTGAAGATGCTGCGTTGCGCCAGTGATGACTCTCAGATGTTGGAGCACAGTGGCGCTCAGGTAATGACGATGGATGATGATGATGATGATGATGACAATATCGATGACGACGACGAAGATGAATTCGAATCGCACCGATGTTTATACGGAACACTAAGTTTTTCGTTCTAATTGAACCGATTTGTCTTTCTTCGTTTGAGTTACAGACGCAATTGCGTCCTTTTCAATTTAGGTATTAGGTACCGAGAAAAGGGAACAACGAGCTGCGTCATCGATTCAAGATATATTACACTATTTTCGAATCTTGTAGATTTAAGAGTACTTAGCTTAGAAGAGGAAAGTCCTCGATTCGAAACAATCGAGAGCCAGGGGGAGAACTTCGATCCCGGGACTTGACACAGAACTATTCCAAGATTTGACACGCACGCACGCACGCACGCACGACGCAACGTGACGCGTCCTGCGCGAAAATTTTCGCACGGAGAAATATGACCCTGTGATCTATGCTTGCGACAATCCTCGGCGAGGTCTCAGACCTCAGCAGGTTGGCCTGGGGCGATCCGCTTTTTCACGAGGCGAGACGATGCTCGATTCGCGCGGCTCCGTCGACAGAGGCTCTCTCCGGACAACCGGATCTCGCGCGAGTTTGAGGTTAGCCGCAGATTTCAACGGGCTGTCAACTGACGCGACACAGCTGTCCCTTGCGACGTCATCGATCGCGACGAGCTGGCGGAGCGCGTTCGCGTACGGCGTTTTCTCCACGTCGCCGTGGTGCTTATTGTCGCGCGCGAGATTCACGCAAGGAGGAATCCACACGTATACGGGCCGCACACCTGCATTGGGAATTAGCGTTCCTGCGCGAGTACGCGAGTACGATCAGGAACGGAGCGTCCATTCGGGAGGCGAACTTACGTAAACGCGCGACACCGCTCTGGCGGTGGTCACATGTCAAATTTGAACGATTGACGCGTCGTCAATGGGTGGATTCGACCGCGTGTCGTTTCTCTCGTCTTCTTTCCCTCTTCTCCACTCCTCCTCTTCCTCCTCCTATTCCGCCTTTTCCTTTTCCTCGTTCCTTCCCTTCCGGCAATGTTGCGTGTCGTGGGTCCAGCTTCTCAAAAGTATGGATTTTCCGAGATCGGTCGGGACACCTCGAGTGTCGCTGTCGCGCTCGTCGGCGTTTCCTCTCGCGAGTAGAAAGCCCGGTTGTCGGTCAGCACCATTTCTAAGTACGACGGCAGCGATGACGACGCGTCGCGCGGACACGTACGCCTCCGGGAGGTTCCCGCGCGGGGCGAGAATCGCGGGAAGGCGCGGCGGCAGCGGCGTCGTCGTCGTCGAGAAACGGCGGCGCGCGACACGAAAAACCGTCCAATTTTGGCGTTACGGCGCGGCGATGTTGATAATCGCCGCCGCGGCGAGCACTCATCGATTC